GTTTACATTCTCAACATGCAAACATCATCTTACATTTTCTTAAACACAACACAGGCATGCATATTAGTTAGCTCGGCCTGCTATCACAAGATACAGTGGACCAGGTGACAAACAGACATTTCTCACTGTTCTAAGGCTGGAAGTCCAAAACCAAGGTGCTGTCAGATTCAGTGCCTGGTGCGAACCCTCCTCCTGGTGTGCAGATGGCCACCTTCTCCCTGTGCTGGAGAGTGAGCTCTGGTTTTTCCTTGTATTATAAGGACACTAATTCCATCAGGGGTGCCATACCCCCATGACCTCACTCGAGTTTAATTACCTCCCAAAGGCCTCACCTCCAAATACTATCACAACAGGGAGGAGGGCTTCAACATATCAATTTGGGGGGAGGGCACACTCAGTTCCATAATACAAGTATGTGGTAGTCATGTTATCAGTTATAATCCTCGCTAGTACACATGCTTAGAGCCATTCTATGCACATTCCTTTTAACTATCTCAGTTTGAAATAACATAAACAGATCTCATCAAGTCTGCAAATAACACCAGTAAGAGCAGATCTTTAAGGCCAAGGCAGGGACTTGATAATCCTTGGTTAGCCCTGTTGAAAGGATGAAAGAGAAAAATTCAGTTATAATACAGATTACTCATACCCTGAGCACTGTTTAGTAAACCAGACAGCCAGAAAATTGACAGACCAAGCAATCATTGGCCACTACTATAAATAACTCCATCTGCAGCACCTGACATCTCCACCGGCCCAGCCCTGTATCTTTCTGCTGAGCTGATCTCCTTGGAAGGCTCACAGTTTATTCCTTGCCATGTACCCAGACTGAGATTCCCCACAGCTGCTTTCTCAGTGAATGGCACTATGAACCATACCAGTCTCTCTGGCTGACTTACTTCTAAGTACCACACTCGGGTGGCACCGTGCAGGGGTAGGCACCTTTCAAGGCCTCTCCCTCACCAAGTCCTACCTGCATTAGCCTCCTACCTCACATCTGTCCCTCGCCCTGGCCTCCTTGTCACCTACCCCCTTGTGATCTTTCTAAAGCACAGTATGATCACATTATTCACCTGCCAACAAATTCTCCATGTTTTGTGCAATTTCAAGGTGAAGTTCAGACTCCCCAGTTCCGTACCCAAGGCCCTACCCCCTCAGGTACTTCCTGAACACACTTGCCTCCAGTCCAAGCAACAAGTGAGGGCACCCTGACTACCTTCTATTTTTTGCAAACCTTCTAAACAGCAAACAAAAGCATTATTATTTCATTATGTATTACTGTCACTTTAAAAGTAATGAAAAAGGAAACAAAACTTTGAAGGTGCATGGGAATCAAATAATCGCTCTTTCCTTTACTCTCAGCCATGTCTTCTCCAGCAAGACAGTCAACTACTTCAAGTGCCAGACCATTCTCCCCCTGGATATAATTTGGGTTTCACAGCTGATGATCAGATGTGACCTCTGCTTTTCTAGGGTTGATATGTCTCAGCTCTGAGAAAAGCCATTTGTTCTTACGGCATGGGGGCTAGTGGTCCTACTCAGCCACTATTCAAACTGACACATACTTTTATAAAGCACAGGAAAAAAGCAGGACCCCCTCTTTTCCCTTATCCCTAAGAGGACCTAGAGGACCAGCTGCCCCACCACTAGCACAGCCAAATCCCTTCCCTCCAATCAGGCTGACTCCTGGAAGCACACCTGACTCTGCTTTCCAAGTACAGCCTTAAATCCAAAAGGGAGGTTGCAGGGTTTATGGGTGCCCCTCACATATGAAAGAGGCCTCTCTTGGTCCTTGCTATGTTACCAGAAGCCAAGACAGCTGGGCTTATGGGAGAGGGTCCAGGTATTTGCAAAGTGAAAGGCTAAAAAGAATGGATGAATGAATAAACAAATAGGCATTCCTCCTAAATTAGAAGAGCAATATACAGCATAGTTTCCCAGCTCTGAAATACTGTGTTGCTAAGAGTTTCTTCTGTTCACTTTGCTCTTGAGCAAAATCATAGCTCCTGAACAACATATCAGGACAAACTTTAAAGTTGCTTCTTGAAACAAATGCTAAAGCTGAGTTATTTACTTAACATTTGTAACTTTCTAAGAACACCAAGCAATGAGTAAAATATAACTTCTACCATTCCCAGGAAAGGTACCATGGCCCCACTAGTTTATTTTTCTCAAATAAAATTGGGCCTCCCCTGTGGTGGAACGGGTTGAGCGCAGTGCTATGAAGCTGTCCGCAGCCTCTGCTGTGCCAGGTTGATTCCAGGCCCGCCAGGGAGATACCCACATGGCGCAGCAGACCTCTTCTGTCAAGCCCACTGCTCCCCTCAGCAGTGTTTTCCGTCAGTCTGCCTGTTCTGCTCCCCACTCTGTCTTTGGTGAATTCTCTCACCCTCCCATGTCTCTGGCCTGTACCCCAGTTCAGATCTCTGGCCTGTAACCCCAGTTCTTGTATAAATAAAATCATTTTTTAAAAAATTGGATATTTACTTTGATGGGACACTAAACCTGAGCACCTGCTACACTACAGGAGCCATGAGCCTGGCTTACAGACCACACCTATGCTCCAGTCTTCAGTCCCACACAGAATCTGCAGGACAGATTCCCTGGAACTGGAGTCCCAGCAAAGGCTGACTGGAATGGGCCATCAGGCTTCAGTCTGCAATTTCTAAAAGTTCAAGTGTCTCTGGGTATGGGGCTGCCAGGGGGCCTGTGTACAGCCTCAAATCAGAGTTCACCTGCAAGAGCAGTCACTCTAAAATCAGGTGCAGCGTCTGTCAGTCCAGTTCTCTGAATGACACTGCTTTTTCCTGGACTTTAGAGATACTTGACTACCATCATGAACTTTCTGAGTATTTACTCTGCACAAGGCACCACCCTAAGTCCTATGCAGATGTAATCAGTTATCTCTAAGGTGAATGACTTGAATTCTTATCACCACCTTCTTAAAGACACAGAAACAAGACTGACAGCAATTGTCTAGGGTTCAGGTAGTGACATATCTAGGAAGTCCGTGACCAAATGTGGGGCTCTATTTTGGCCTCTACATTGTCAATTCTTTGCAATAGAGAATTTGAGAAGCTGTGTGCAATGTTCACTAAAAGAAATATGCACTTTTCTATGCATTGTTTTTCTACCTTCTCTCTCTGGACCTTTCCTTCCTGCCCTGCCCAAACACTACATGCAGTAATATCTCTTTAATTCATCAGTCTGCACAGCTCTAGAGACAGGTGCCATCAATTCTGAGCCCATCCATCTGGATAAACAGGATACATTACTTTTTCCAGAAGACATCACTTTGCTCTCATCCACAAAGATTCCTTTTTCCTTCCTATAGATAAATTACCACTTTGTGTATCATGAGTCAAATTATATTCAAGAACGTTCATTTGCTGTGTAATTATTTTTCCTAATTGGACTGCTCTGAAGACATGATTTCCCCCTCCCATCTCCTGCAACTTGCAATGTCTTCTCCCCAGGCATAAAATGTTTGCTGCACCCTTTGCAAATAACAAGTCATCACACTAGCAGTTCTCAGCCGTGACCACTTAGAAGAACTATTACTATAGTGTTTTATCTGTTACTGCCTCAATCCCCTCGATTTCATTGACGAGTCAGATTGCTGACATAGATTAATAACAGCCTGTCACAGTACAACAGTAAAAAGAAAACAATCTTGAGTTTTATTTCTTTTCTCTATCTTTAAAACATTAATCTCAGCACCCGCATGTGTTCCCTGTTTCTTAAATGTGAGAACACCCACATGTGTTCTTTACCTCTTAAATTTGAAAAGAAGTCATTTTGCTTAAAGAAGACCAGGAGGGAAAAATCAATAATACCGAGGATAAGACATCACCAACGAAATTAGCATCACACCTGTTTTAAACCTGGTGGGTGTAGCGCTCTCCCAAGAGTGGGAGAAGGAGAGCTACGTGCAGACGATAAACATCCCTTTCAAACTGGGCAGCTCAGGTAGAACTCGCCACAGGAGGCTCCGTCAGCACCTTCTCCCCCCTCCCAAGACCTCTTGCCTCAGGCTCCAGCACACACTTGTCTATAGGAGCCGCTTTGCGATTTCAAACATAAGTTCTACTTTTGCTTCTGGGTCACTGATGGAATCTATTTGCATGCTCACAACCACAGCAGAGAAAAGGGGAACTACAGGAAATGGCCCGGGTGGGCGTGAGGATGGGGGTGGAGGAGACTTTACTCCCATTTACACCCATTGAAACAACTACGGACACTCTGGACTCTCCTGAAATAAAAGTTAAACGGGATTGAAGGAAATCCTTTTGCTTTTCTGACTTCAAAGAACACTAGACTGTTGAATGGCAGGAGTCAGAGTGGGAGAGAAAACCCATTAACTTCATGCCAAAAAAAAAAAAAAAATCCCAAATTACAAACCGCCTCGCCTAGTCCTTCCTCACTCACCCCTTGGACTCAGCCACCCGCGCCAGATGTGGTCTTCCCGACTCCACGCCCATCTCCTCCGGCCCCGCACCCCGACTCACTGCTTTACCCACAAAAATGCAGCCCAGATCTGAGCAGCAGCTGACGTCTGCGGCCGGCGTGACCCACACACCACAGACCAGGCCCCCGGGGCGACCCCCGGGCGGCTCCCCCAGCCCGGCACCAGGCGCGGAGCTGCACCGGGTCGCCGCGCCCGCGTCCCCACGTCAGGCAGCGGGCGCTGGAGAGCCCGGCGCGCACCCGCAAACTTTTCCACTTGTGCCGCCGCGGGCCGGGCGCGGAGCGCAGAAGCCGTTCCTCCCATTCCCGGCATCCAAGCCCGACCCGCGGCACCTCCGGGCCGGGTCCCGCTGCGCTCCCCGCGGGCGCCGGGCGAAGTTCCCGCGCCAGTCGGGGCGCACGCCGCCGGGCTCCGCGGGTCGCGACGGTCCCTCGAGGACCCCCGGGGCGCCCCGCCGGCGTGGCCGGCCCCTCCTGGCCGAGGCTGCGGGCTGCCCCCGCGGCGCGCGCGGCGCTCGGCGGCTCCGACTCACCCGACGCGCTCGGCGGCTCCGGCTCCAGCCCGCAGCCTTCCCCGGCCGGGGCTTTCCGTTACGCCTCCTCGCAGCACCTCGCCCGGCCCCGCCGGCCGCCGGGAGGAGGCGGGACGCGGGAGGCGGCGAGGGGAGGCGGCGAGGGGGCGGGCGGGAGGGGAGAGGGTCCGCGGCGGGGAGGCGAGGCGAGAGCGCCGACCTCGGCCGCCGCCGGGGCTAGCACCGCGGGAGGAGTAGGCGGGGCGGGGGCAGAGAAAGAAAGAGGCCGGCGAGGCGCCCTGCCCCAGACCCGGCCCCGCGCCGCCGCCCAGTCACCATCGCCGCCGCCGGCCCCGCTCCGGCCGCGCGTCTGGGGGAGGGGTCGGGCCCGGGGCTCTCCCGGCGCGGCGCGCGGGGCGGGGCGGCCGGGGCGCAGCGAGGGCGGCGGGCGGGGGACGTGGCCCGGCCTCCCGGGGGGAGTGTCCTGCGAGGCTCCGGAGGGTGTTGGCGAAAGGGGATCCCCGGGAGGAGGGGCGGACACCCGCGGGCCTGGGAGCCGGTCACTGCGCCAGCCCCGCGCGCCCTGCGAGGCTCCCCCGAACCGCGCCGGGGCGCCTCCGGGGTCGGCTTGGAGAAACCGCCCCAGGGGCGCGGGGCGCGCGCACAGCCCAGCCCGGGAGGCCGGGAAAGGCGAAGCCAGAGTCCGGGCTCCATCTGCTGCGAGGGGCCCCGGAACCGTCCCGCTGGCCCAGACTGAGCGGGAACTTCGTTGGGTGGCCCCGGGGAACCCGGAGCAGGAGGTGGACTGGGGCTCCTGGGGCCCGCTCTCGCGGCCCTGTTCCGGAGAGGAGGCTCCGGGCGTAAGACTCCCTGCCTGCGAGGCTCTGGGTGAGGCAACAGGGTGAACAGTCACAAATATTCGCAAACAGATTGCTTGGGATTCCGAAACAGCCTCCCCTGCACTCAAAATACGGTTCTGGGATGAATTTCGAAGGCCCTTTAGTCGACAGTCCGAAAAGACCTTCTGACCCAGAGAGAGGACTCACCACCTCTCCACCAGTGCTGCTACCAGTACACCTTGTGATCTAAACATAGGAACCAAACCAGCCACACACACACAACGCCCGTTCCCCCCCCACCCCCGCGTCCGTTTTTTTATTTTACTTTCAAATTTGCTCCTGTCTCCAAATTCTAAGCCTTTTGCCTGTGACCTCTATCCAGCAGTTACCTGAACTCAGACCCTCAGCATCAGTTGGGGGCTCTCTCCATTGCCAGAAGTTACACCCATTGATGGCACTTTTTTAAATGTCTTTCCAATTACCCCCACGCCTTCCAAGCCTGCTGCTGCCATCCTGGTTCTGGCTGTTTCCGGGGTTCATGGCTTCAGTGGCCTTTTTCCAGGTTGCCTGCTCTGGCCTTCTCTGCACTGGCATCCAGCTGTACTCCTGCAGGTTAATGTACAGGTTAACGGTTCCAGAAGCCACATTGGTAGGTCCCTTTTCTAGTAGCTCTGGGAGGCACTTTGCCATGTTCAGAAGCACTTTAAAACTCTTCAATTCAAAACCATCCACTCACCTACTCCTCCCAGAGGCCTGGCCATTCTGCGCCCCCTGGAAGGGCCCACACTGCATCCTCCTGGGAGTTGCCAGAACTAGAATGCCCTCTCTTTCCTCCTCTCCTGAAAGCCAAATCCCACTTATCTTCATTGAAAATGAAGTTTGTTGTACATTTTCCTGTAAAAGGATATGTGTGTTATTTCCATTTTGTGAAATCACACACTAGAAATATGGCTCATGGGGAAGGTAGGGTTTGGAACAAATAACTAAAAACTCTGCATAACATTGTGACCAGAGCACTAACAAATACAGTAACCATTCCCAAAAACATATTGGTAGAGTTTTTGACCTGTGTTAAATTCCTAATACAAATTCCAGTAAATGTAAATCTAGAAATTTACCTTTATAAAGAGAGGGAGGTAACTGATGGAAAGATGGTAAGGACAGTTGTTGGAGCCTGATGAATTTAAAAGATGAGCACAAAATGTATACAAGTAAATCCCCTACCTCCCAATAAACACTTCCAAATTAAAGTTCATAGTCCAACCAGTTCAAGATTTTTGAATTCACAAGAGGAGCATCGGGGAATTCTAAAACAAAAGTTTTCTCAGAGCCATGTTTGTTACTCTGTGGGCTAAAAGCAAACAAGCATCCTCAGATAGGATAATTGGTCTGAAGCATAGATAAATTGCACTTAATAAGGAGCAAGAAACTAGGGGGTCAAAAGGGGAGGGAGAATAAAGAAGGAGAGAGATGCTGAAAGATGTTTATTCAAGAAGAAAGTAGATGCTCAGTTCTTAGGAAAGACAAGGTTTCAAAAAAAGATAATGACCCAAATTCTGGGGTATTGTGAAAGCTGCTTCTAGAATGTGCTTCAACCAAATTTTCAGACAACACTTACTGTGAGGCAAAGGAGTGGGGGAGGGGGGAATTATAAGAAATTAAAGGGTACATGCAAAGTGTGGTCAAATGACAAGAAGGCCTTGGAAGAAAATAATTATGAGCCACTTGGATGGGTCATAAGGTAAAATTACAGTGGAGCCCAGCAAAAATGTTGTGATTCTGAACTTACTTGCCTGTGCAGATCACTTAACTCTCTGAACATTATACCCCGCTTAGTGTAACTGCATCAACAGGGCTAGATGTTTTTCATGTGTGAACACTTAATGTTTATTCTGAGGGTGAATGCATTTGGAATTTAAATAAAATACACATTTTTATAAGACAGTTTTGATATATTTTCAAGATTGCCAGCATATTGAATAATGATTAACTTTAAATTAGTCTATTCATCTTCATCAAAACCTACCTTTCAAATCTACCCTGCCCCCAGTTTGAGAGATTGATATTTCCTAAAACTGTATGTTATCAGAATTTCAGTGCTAGACATAAACTTGGAAATCAGTATCTTTTGAATATCACATAAAATATTAGATGATTTAAGCTGGGATTCCCTTCAAGGAAACTAGCAAAATTGCAATTCACCAACTTGGAATCCTGTGAAAAATGACTGACTTAAAAATTATCATCCTGCATTTTTCCCACGTGGATCAAAGAAGCTATCTGAAGCATTAAGGATCCATTTTCCCTGACAAATACGGGTTGAAAAGAGGTAATTGTGAGCATGACTTGAAGGACTCTACTGATTAAAAAGGGCTCTCCTGATTAACATCAGCACTCTGACCTACTTGATACAGAAGCCATCTTTGGGCTGTGGAAATGGCCAATGTAGCCAATGAACTTAGAAATGTCATATTTCAACACTTGTTTTTCAGGTAGTTTTTAAGTCAAAGGAAAAATGAAGCCTGTAAATACCAAAGAAATTTCCTACTTTTTAAATCTAAGTCCCTTACCAAGGCGTAGGTTATCTGTTGAATGAGGCTAGTAAAATTTCTCCTACTGAAAAACACATACTACAATTGCAAAATGGGCAGGAAGGGTTTTCCAGTTACCATATAATGAGAGTATAGCAGTGGTAGGACCAAGTTAGACAAAAAGAACCAATTGCTCCTCCTGAAGAAAATCTCAGTAATCTGTCAAAAAGACTTCCTTTTTCCTCATGCTTCTCTTAAGGACACCATCCATGCTTGAGTCAAGAACATGGTCCTCAAAACATACCACAGCTAGGAAATATGCATATAGAACTTTGGGTGTCTACTCTCTTCTGGTCGAAACAGAGGGCTGGTCTCTGCTTTTATCTTCTGGACATAGACCCTACCCCTGGCCTTCCCATATTCTATATATTTCTGATTTGTCACCGACTTCTCCTAAAGTAGTCTACTTTCCTGCCTCCAGTTCTAAAACTAGACTCCATGTGACTCTGGATAAACTCAACACAAGAAGGTGCTCAGTTCATTTCCTCCCATTATGTCACCACTACCACAAACAAATCCATCTGGCCCTGATCCAATTGCTCTTACCCCTGAAATGAGGTGGAAATTTCCATATGGTGAGAATATTTTACTACAACATTACTTTAAAAATTGCCTTCATATTCTGCATCATTCCTAGCTGCTCACTAACACTTAATTGGCAGATATAATTCACTGAGTCTTTAGTCATTTCAAATCTTCACCTGCAGACATTTTCCTGGATTACAAACCTTTCTCGGAAGAGGTTCAGAATACAAAAAACGTGGGGGATTAACTGTTGTACAGTATTCATGACAGGCATAAAACCACCCAGAGAAAGCATGCTTTAGCCCTTTATGGCAATAATGTTATGCATCTGATCTGTGACTTTGGCTTTATCTTTTCTATTAGGAATTGTGTGCTGTTCTCAAAACCTTTAATAGGTAAAGTTTTACTATTACCCTCACTGTACTTATAATGAACTTGGAAAATACTCATTTGCCATGATTCAATAAAGCTAAGATGCTACTACTGCTGTTTTTTATACTGTGAAAAGGACACTTGTCTTTAATCTGGTCTAGACAGAACTACCTAATCTCCTACCTGAAATCCTTAACTGTAAGGACCTTTTTTTTATTTTAATTTCTTCCGATCTTCTTGCTGGAAACAAGAAGGATAAAAATGTATGTCTGGAAAACTGGCAATTGTTGAGTACCCTATTTTTACCAAGTGCTACAGTTAATTGGTAATAAAAATATTGAGTATTTTTTATTGTAACATGTTTTCTGCCCACTTCCCAATCACCCTGGGGTGGCTTGTTACTAAACATAGCAGAAGGTAAGAGATCCTCTTACCAGGGTCCTGGTGGACCACAGTTGAACATTAAATTTAGTTCTGCAGTTCCCAGAGCCAAGACAAGAATGGCATACAATGAATAATATAGTACTCACAGTCTGGTAAAAGAATCATAATTATTCTTCAACTTAGGCAAACTTTTTCCTGGCATTAACTTCTAAGAGGAATTGAATCATGGGAATCCTTACATAAGAGACACTGGATAATCTAAACATTGAGGTGCAGCATCTTCACTGAGAAAAAGCAACAGACTCTTGCTCTGCAGAGCAGTGAGAGTGGGAAATTAACAAGAGATGACAGAACGGTCTAGACTGTGTTTCTATCATGACTGAAACTGTGTTATCTAAACTTC